ATGGGGTAATAATAGTGAACTCTGAACTGGTGGTTTACTCTGCACCGTGCATGTGCTTTAGAGGCTATATTTCATTTTATCTGTGCCAAAACTTGTAAGTAGGCCTTGTTATTATTCCCATTTTGCTAGTACACTTTAGAGAACATAAGGAATCTTCAAGGTCATAGAGTTAACATGTAGAGTCTGCGGAGGCTCCATTCTTATCCCCATGCTGCCTCCACAGTTTAAATTGAATTATTAGGAATACAGATGTGAGAAGCATGGTAAGAAATTATTAAATATTATCCATAGATGTAAAGATGAAGAAAGAGTGTCATGGAATAAGCTTGCAGATGAGATGGGATGCAAAGGAAGCTGAGGAAGAAGAAGACAGAGGAGAGGAAGTATCAGAGAGGAAGGGGGAGAACTTGGAGAATGCCACAGCGGTAATCAAGGGAACGCATCACACCACTATAGCGTGATTAACAGAGGGGTCAGAATTCAGAAAAAGCCTTGGCTTTGGCCATTTGGTGGTTATTAGTGACATTCCAGGGAGGCTTTTGGAAGGAGAGTAGAAGCAGGAGCCAGATTGCATTGAGTAACTTTTGAGTAACCATTTGGCAGTACGTTGTTAAATCTAATAATATAGTGGCCCATCAGGCAAAACAAATGTGGTAAGTGGGCTGTATGAGAAGAAATCAGATTGGGGAGATTTGTTGGCAGACTGGGGGTCAGTGTTGCCTGATCTTTCAATTTTCCACAAGAAGCTGGAAATACAGAAACTTTTGGGTGATATTTCCTGAGTTCTAGATGTTAGTTCAATACTTAAAAAATATAAAACTCAATTGAGAGCTAACCATAACACATCTGAGGGCTGACTTTGTCCTACCAGCAGCAAGCTTATGGAATCCTCTTTTTAGAAGTTTAGAAGTGAAATGAGGAAGCATCTCAAAGCAGCAGCAAGATCAAGGAATGTTTAAAATCATGTTAGAGGCACGTGTGTGTGTATGTGTCTAGCGTTGTTTGTTTTTGTTTTCTTGGAGTGAGTAAATATAAACTCACTAAGGAGGAGGATTTAATGTATAAATAGAGAGAGGCCCAAAATATCAAGAGAGGAGGTGTCTGGAAAAGGAAAGTGCTTGTGGGAGTGGGAGGAATCAGATTAAGAGGTCAATTGCAAAGGGAACATCCCTACTATGAGAATCCGAAATCCAAAGTGTTCCAAAATCTGAAACATTTTGAGCACTGACATGACACTCAGTGGAAATGTTCACTGGAGCATGTAAGCTTTTGGATTTTTTGGATTTGGAATGTTCAGTCAGTATAACATAACTATTCCAAAATCTGAAAAAATCCAAAATCCAAAACACTTCTGGTCTTGAGCATTTCAGATAAAGGATGCTCAACCTCTGTTAGAAGGAGGAGAAGATGCAAACAGATGGAGTGATGGGAAAGCGAAAAGGCAGAAGTGAAGAGAACCTCCCTCCTTTATACATGTGGTTAGAGGATGTATTACATGACTGGAGAGGGGCTCAGTTGGAGCCTGGACAAATTTTGTGATGGCTGCTTAGGGAGGTAGTGGCTAGAGTATAGGGCACTTAGAACTGTCAAGTAGCAGTGAGGACCTAGTTTACTTCAGTTCATGAGTATCTATTTATGTGAAACCACTAAGTGCAGAAGATACAGAATAGGTAAGACTCAAATACTGCCTCTGTGAGCGTATGGTCTTACTTATATTCTGTATCTCTAACCTGAGCTGATGAGCAAGTTTTTCACATTTCTTTAATACACTTGCTATCATTGCCACTTTGTTATACCTGTGAGTTACCTCTACTATTTGCTCAGTAATTTTCTTTAAATCACCTCTTGTTTTACATATAAAGATAGAAAAAAAGAAGCTATATATCAGTACTTATACTTTTATACTGTATTTGTCCAAACAATGCATTCTTAAAAGTAGTTTTAAAATACAAAATTATTTGACATTTCCATGTCACCTGAAATAATCTTGTGTATAATTGGTAGAACATACACCATGTCTTGGAAACAATGAAACTGGTTGGTTGGTTGGTAGGGTTCTTTTGAGACAGAGTTTTTCTCTTGTCACCCAGGCTGGAGTGCAATGGCGCAATCTCAGCTCACTGCAACCTTCACCTCCCGAGTTCAAGCAATTCCTCTGCTACTGCGCCCAGCTAATTTTTGCATTTTTAGTAGAGATTAGGTTTCACCATGTTGGCCAGGCTGGTCTCAAACTCCTGACCTCAGGTGATCTGCCTGTCTGGGCCTCCCAAAGTGCTGGGATTATAGATGAGAGCCACTGCGGCTGGCCGGTAGACTTCTTTATGTCATTCAGAGCAAGGATTTTTTTTTTCCATGTTAGAGTATATATACATGGCCTTGGTTTTTTTTATACAAGCTGGTCGGTTTAGATGGCCTGATCTGAATAAAATGGATAAAGGCAGGGACCTCTTTGCCTGACAATTTTAAAGCGTTGCTATTTGAATGCCAAGAAGTTTGAAGCTTCACTGCAGAGACTTCCAAATTAATCTACTCTGGAAAAAAACGAAAATGCCATCAAGTAACAGGAGATTTGTCAGCTGCTCTGCTTACACTTTTCATACAAAACATAAAGGTTGGTAGATTATAGATGAAAGGTCAGTTCAGCAAAAAAGAAAATATGTCAGACAATCTCATAACATCGGTAACAGAGGATGGAAGTTGGAAGCTACTCTTGGATTCTCGGAAAGAGATGAGTTTGTTGGCGATGTGTAAATATCATCACCTTTTCTGCGGCTCTTCATTTTGGTGGCTACCTTTCTTTGTGAGTCTCCAAAATTTGATTTAAAAGACACCAAAGATGCCTATCTTTCTGAGAAAGATTTACTTTGCAACAGTTTCACTTAAAGAAAAAGAAAAAACCTGGTCTGAAGGGGGAAAATATACTTCTTTTGCCATAGTGGCTAGTCTCACCTACGCTGCCCCCGAACCAGAGCCCTAAAATGCGGATAAATTGAGAAACCCAGGCTTCCTGCAAAAGCAGTGGCGCATAACGAAAAGGTTTACAGTGATTGCTTCATTGTGAATTATTAAAGGGGAACTGGGCAACTGCAGTTTGATTTGTACAGGTAAAATCCTTTGCTCTAAGAATCACACAGTTAGGACCTGCCTTGGAACAGATTGCTTCCTGGTAAAACATTTTAGCCTGTTCCAGCTTTAGGAGCACAGGTGAATTGGGGTGGGGAGCAATATTAGGCCCATAGGGTCACAGAGCCATGAATTAGAGTTGTAGGACCTCTCACAAATTTCTAGCATGTGCAGTGCTGGGAATTTTTGCACATGAAGTGTGGGAATTGTGTAAAATACCACCATTCTATCCAAGCAGCTTTGCTATGTACATCACACTCCTAATTACTAAATTCGCATAAACGTGCATTTGAGGGAGGCTTCCTACTCGTTTGTGAACTCTTCAGCATAGCCTTGCAAATAATGGAGGCCAAAGACGTGACACACAGCACTGTGGGCTAGTAGTCAAAGATATCCATTGATACTTGGCCTCCACGTTTCTGGTTTCTTCTCTCTGCAGTGTTATTTTCTATCAGACTGCTTTCCTCTATCTCTTAAGCCTCCCCATTGTTGCCCTTGCTATATATGCAGTTTTATTATTGTCAGAAATCTAAGAATTAATAGCTAAAGAAAAGGCAGTAATATTACAAAACATGATCTGGCAGTCTTCAAAACTGCTTCAATATTAGCAAATACGTTTGCGATGTGCTGCTGAGACTGTGTGGACTTCACAGTGTAATCTTTAGAGTTTGAATTGCCGAAATCAAGAGGACTGACGACAGAATTTGTTTCCCTCATTTCCCCCACAAGATTATCTTCCCCACTAAGCTTTCTTAATGAAATTATTGAGACTCTGGCTTGCTAGTAAGAACCAGTTCTTACAACAAGTGTATCCATTTCCTGCTAGTGGTAACTTTAATTCTTCCTGGAATAGCAGGAAACATTAATTTTGCATTGGACCCACAGGTCTCAGAAAGCTAGAATTAAGGTGCCATTGTCCCACCCTTTTTTCCTCCAAAATAAAATAAAAGAGCAGCAGATCAACAGTGAGCCTTGAGGGATGGGTAGAGTAAAGGAAAGAGCATTAATTTCAGGTGGGGACAGCTGCCTGGCACTATCTCCCTTTGGATTTTGGTTCTTATAGCATCACGGTGAGTTATTAATATGTATGACCTGTACATTATTCAAACATTATAAATCTATGCAGAAGTCTGGTGTTTGGGTTTTCCTTTATAGCTTTCATTCTTCTTCCCAGAATTATCTCATTTTGATCGGGAAACTTTTGAATAAAAAGCACACACCTAGAACTCACATTTCCATACCATAAATATTAAAAGGGTTAAGCTTTACAGTTTCTTCTCCCATCCCAATGGGAGGAAAGTTAGCCTTCTAATCAGGGGGCCTTACTAATGTTCTTTTTATTCACAAGCCAAAAGGTAAACTTAATATTAGAGTTGAAATATGAAATTGTACTATGTGGTTCCTTTCATGTATGTCAGTCTTGGAATATTTGACTATGCCATGTCTTTTGTATGAAGGATGTATTAAAAATCTAGTAGTTATCTGAGTTATTAAGAGTAGGTGGTTAGATTATGTTTTGAGGACCAAACTAGGTACAGACCTTCTCTTAGGGATCATGATTAAAGTGATTTTTACTGGATAAATATAAAGTGTGGATTCATCACAGTGAATAAGTAACATACAGAAGAGGGAAATGGAACTAGAAAACTTAATGTCTTTTTAGCAACGTTTTAGCTACTTAGCAGCTTCCTATCTCCCGTTATTGTCATTTTTATTAGCATAAAGGAGTAGTCATAAATTCCGGTTCACATGGAAATGTAAAGGAATGTGTGAGCTATTTCATTTGGGTGAGCTGTCTGCTAATCACATAGTCTTGGTGGTTGTACTTTGTGATGGGAAATAAACGTGCTAATTGGTGCTCTTTTTTCTTATTTCAGGAAACCTGCCATATGAATATAAAATAGTGATTGCTGGGAATCATGAACTGACATTTGATAAGGAATTCATGGCAGATCTTGTTAAACAGGACTACTACCGTTTCCCCTCTGTGTCCAAATTGAAACCAGAGGACTTTGACAATGTTCAGTCCCTCCTGACAAACAGTATTTACTTACAAGATTCGGAGGTAACAGTGAAGGGATTCAGGATATACGGTGCACCTTGGTAAGTGATGATTCAAACAGTTTTCCACATTGTTTTTTAGCTCAGCACCAGTAAAACATGGCTCAGACTTAGATGCTTTAAAGGACAATGATTAGGATGGAAGGAAACCTTATTGCTGCATTTCCAACAAAATACATACTGTACTGCTGCAAAATGCAACACTTGTTTTCATTGTGATAGAAAGCCCTTTAGGCAAGATCAATGAGAGTTAAGGCTTTCCTAGATATATACTGTCATCCCTCCTTTGGTATCTATGGGGGATTGGTCCAGGACCTCCTGCAGATAACAAAATTCCAGCTTGCTCAAGCCTTTTATATAAAATGGTGTGGTATTTGCATATAACCCATGCACATCCTCATGTATACTTTAAGTAATCTCTAGATTACTTATAATACCTAATATAACATAAATATGATGTGAATCATTGTTATACTTTATGGTTTAAGGAATAATGACAGGAAAAAATATCCAGCACAGATGCAATTCTTTTTCTAATATTTTCTTATTTTTTTTTTTGAGATGGAGTCTCTCTCTGTTGCCCAGGCTGGAGTGCAGTGGTGTGATCTCTGCTCATTGCAACCTCTGCCTCCCAGGTTAAGTGATTCTCCTGCCCCAGCCTCCAAAGTAGCTGGGATTACAAGCGCTCATGACTGCGCCCAGATAATTTTTATATTTTTAGTAGAGTTGTGGTTTCACCATGTTGACCAGGCTGGTCTTAAGTTTCTGACCTCTGGTGATTTACCTGCCTCAGCCTCCCAAAGTGCTGGGATTACAGGCATGAGCCACCGTACCTGGCCCTTTTTCTAATATTTTCTATCATTGGTTGGTTAATGATATTTTCTATCATTGATATTTTCTATCATTGGTTGATTAATGATGCAGAATCCCTGATCATGGAGGGCTGTCTGTATATGTTTATGCTACTGGGTCCAGGTGAGTGTCTATGTGACACAGAAGGATTTGAGAGGAGGTCACCATGCTGCCCTTTACACAGATTCAGCTACTCTGAACATTCCATCAGCCTTAGGTAACTCATTTCCCTCTCATTTTGTACTTGAAGCAGCCATAAAATATCTTGCTTAGATTAGGGTTTCTCAAATCTCTCTACACATCAGAATTTCCAGCTCTGTAGAAATACAGATTCTGAAGCCCCACCTCCAGAGACTCTGATTCTCCTTCCTGAGATGAAGCCGAGCAGTTCATATTATTTTAAAGTTCCCTGGGCAAGACTGATGCACAGGTGGTCTGGAAGTTACTGGTTGAGAGCTGGGGCTAGAATTCCTAGAACTAAGCTCTGGAAAACTTAAAATGGGCATATATCCCTGGGGGCCAGAAAAGAAGCATGTCAGTCCTGACTCTATCAGTTGACAGTTTTCAGGTTTTAAAGGAGTTACTTCACAGTGCCTGAGCCTCAGTTTTTGCATCTCTAAGAGGTGAAAATGATACCTATTTTAGAGGGTTATAGTGAGGATAAGATAGGTAAAGTTTGCGGTGGATTTAAGAGAGTATCACGTAGTTTGCTTAGGTTGTGAATTATAATTTTTCTGGCCTTGGGCTTTTCCACTAAGTATTTACATGAACTTAGGAAAGTCATTTAGGTCCTAGAGTCAGTTTTTTAAAATCTTTAAAATGGGAGTGTTAGACTAAGTGATTGTCAATATTAGCAAGTTCTAGGATTTTTCTGAGGGTGTATATAGAGCAGAACTAACCTGTGTGTGTATATAGAGCAGAAGAACTCACCTTTACTCATCCAATACAGAGGACTACCCCAGTCCTTGCCTAGGAGTTGTGGATAGGACTGGAAAAAGACAGGCAGACTGAATTCAAATTGGCCACTTTACTCGACAGTTTGGCCTGTCCTCTGTAAATTAAAAGGCTGAGATATTTTCTATAATTTTTTTCTAGCTTTACGAGTTGGTATCCAGAAAGACTGGTGAGTGAGTACAGGAAGTACATTTCTGTTTAAAATCAACCCCAACAATGATTTTGAACTCTTAATTAAGTACTTCCTATATGCCAGGCATTGTCCTGAGTTTTTTGTATATGTGTTATTTAATCTTCAAAATACCTTTAGGAGATGGGCACTACTACGATTCTCACTTGATAGATAAGAAAACCCAGGTGCAGAAAAGTTAAGTAATTGCTCAAGGATCGCCACAGATAGTAAGAGGTTTGATTTGAACCTGGCAAGTCTGATTCCAGGGCATATAGCATGACTGAGGGGTGGCGTGGGTGGGGATGTGGTATTGGTGGTTATAATCTGCAGATCTAGTTTATACCTAGCTTTAGTAAGGTGTGTCAATTTATTTTTAATGTATGAGAACATGGTAAAGGGTAAGAGCATAAACAGCAGAAATCAGTCCCGTCAAACTGTAATCTGAAAACTTATCTCTGGGTCATGTAGGATGTTGATATTAGCATTTCTGGGTAAAGGGCAGGAGAGAGAGCATTTCCAGCTTCACAGCCCAGTTCTTAATGACTGTGCAGTAGTTGAGGGGTGACCTCTGATGGGCAGAGACGCTCTGCATGCAAGATCAATTGTTTAAAAATAATTTAAGATTACTTTTGAAAAATCTTTAAAAGACACAGGACATTTCAGGCTATTCCTGAGCAAGCAGGACATTCAGAGATCCTTGGATTGATAGTTACAGAAATGATGACAGCAACAAACTTCCTCCATTATCTGAGCTGATTCAAATCTGTTTAGAACAGGGTTCAGCTAAACCAGATTACAGCTATGATGAATGAGGGAATGATTTTGGTCCTCAGGCGGATCTTGCAGCATCTCAAGAAACTGAACAAACAGAGTACTTCAGAGATGTGATATGACAGGCATGGTCTGTTTTTGGTGGTGGTGTAAACTGCAGACAAAGTTTATATCTGAACTGGATGGATGTCATTTAAGATGTTTTAATTTTAATACTGGCAAGGATAGCAAAGTCAAGAAAATAAGCACTAATCAGTCTTCTGAAATGTTTTCCTGAAGTTGGCATTAAACGTAATGTCTGTTGAGATTTCCACAAAGCTTCAACCATTTCCTATTGAGCATCTCTTTACAATGAGGGAGATCTGTAAATGGTTTTTGCCCCATCCATGGGAATTGTTGATACTTTGTATTTTGATCAAGAATACAGAGGTTGACAAAATGCATATTTCAGTTTAGTCATATATTTTGGGGAGGCATCCATAGTTTGGATCTCACTGTGAATATATTTCGTCAAAATTAACATTCCCAAAATTACTGATAATCCGAACATTGATTTAGGAATGTCTGCATTAGTGTTTCTGTGCTAGGGAGAACAGTATTTGCCATCTCTACCACTTATACAGTGGAGTGGGAATTTGGGTGCATTTCTTAACATCTACCTGGCTCTGTTTCATCTCTAAAATGGGAAAAAACATTATAGTTTCATGGTTGTTAGGAAGATAGGATTAATGCATCCACAGCACATAGAAGATTTCCTAGCATGGAGTAAACATTTAATAAGTGTTACCTATTACTACTAATAGTGATGTGTTGGTGTTTCCAAAGTACTTTATACCTTTGTCAGGCTTCATAAGGAGACTATAGAACTAGGAGTGAGATTGAATGAGTTTTATCCCTAGTTCACCTTCTGCTCATTGGATAATACTAGGTGAGTCATTTAACTTCTTCATTTAGTTGTAAAACATGAGGAATGAGGTCTACCCTAGTTTCTTTCACATGCCACCCACTTAAATGGTCGCCAAAGTTACAATTTTAAAAGGCAATACGTATTTGTGAGTATGCTTGAATTACTTTAATATCTTATACAATTTTTAACCTCGTTTACTATTAATTTGCCTAGAAGCAATGTTTTGAGAACTTATGCCATAGGTATTACTTTTCTCCCTTCAGAAATTAGATTTTTTTCCATTTCTGAGATTTACCCATAGGTGAGTTCCTGCTTAATAACCCAACAGATATTTCAACCCAAATAATGTAAATTGATTGTTTGATTTCCCAATTTTTTCAGTGACTTTTTTGGAGGAAGTATTAAGTTCTGCATTGCTGATACTGCTAGTGGTTTTAAAAATAGAAATCAAAATAAGAACCCTAATATTAATGATTTCCAGCCTATCATAGGTTTCTCAAAAGCAAATGCCATCAGACTAGGAAAATAGCTATAATTCATGTATTTTGAAAATATGGATTGTGACTTGGTCTAGCTATAGAAAAAGAATATTAGTCTGTATTCATTACACATTCATAACTTGCAGCACAGCTGAAAGCTACCTCAAGACTAGGGAAAATTAAAGTAATAGTTTCTAATTTACAATTTAACAGGAATTTGTATGTAGAAAATAACTTACAACACACCAGAGCATTCATATACGTTTGCAACCGTAATGTTCTGTAATACTTACTAGATCCCCAAGGAAGAGGCTTTGAATGTGGTTTGATGGGTCTAAAAATTCAGTGGCCTAAAGTGAAGACATTTTAAGTGGGATGCCAAGTCTAGGAAGGAAAGGGGATTCCTTAGATGGGAGGGCAAGAGTTGATGACGTCTCTGGGGGCACTCTTACCTCAGGAGGCCTTCAGGCTGGTTTTCTGGCTTCTGTATATATTACTTCATTATCTTATTCTTCCAAGAATCTGGAAGAAAGGCATCAGGCATCTTTTTTACAGTTCAGCCACAGATTTGCTTCACTTCTCCTAAAGTCATTTTCTTTTTTCATTCTTTTTTGGGAGTGCAGAAGAAGAAGGTCTTTTGTTATCAGGCAGGTGGGTCAGCCTCATACTTAGTTCTTACCACGGGAGAGCTTGTGGATTTCTTGCGTACCTAGTATTGATTCTCCACCACCAAGACGGTGCCCAATTTTGTCTTTGTGACTCACTCTCAGCTCTGGAATGTCTTTCCCAAAGGCTGAGTATGCTTAGAAAGGGGAAGAAATTTTAATCTGTCACATATTAGCCACTGTGGTAACTAATGGCATGTCCGGCCAGGGTAGAGGGAGGGTAGAATTTTGAAATCATCTTT